ATTTTGTCAATATACAATGTATGTGATTATTATGGCCCAGCACCGACACCTCCCTCCCTCCTCCCTCTATCCCCTTCCCCCCAAGAATGTCCTTTCCGTTTGCTTGTTGTAACAACTTCAAAAAAGTATAGTTGTTATATCTTCTTCCCCACCCCCCACCCCCCGTTTTTTTTGTGTGTGTTTGTGGGTGAATTAATTTGTTGGTTTTTTTAGCTCCCTCCGATGAGTGAGAACATGTGGTATTTCTTTTTCTCTGCCTGACTCGTTTCACTCAATATTATTCTCTCAAGGTCCATCCATGTTGTTGCAAATGGCAGTATTTCATTCGTTTTTATAGCTGAGTAATATTCCATTGTGTATATATACCACATTTTCCGTATCCACTCATCCGATGATGGACATTTGGGCTGATTCCAACTCTTGGCTATTGTAAAGAGTGCTGCTGCAATGAACATTGGGGTACAGGTATACCTTCGACTTGATGATTTCCATTCCTTTGGACATATTCCCAGCAGTGGGATAGCTGGGTCATATGGCAGATCTATCTGCAACTGTTTGAGGAATCTCCATACCATTTTCCATAGAGGCTGCACCATTTAGAAAGTAATTTAAATAAATAAAAGGATGGTAGCTAACAGTTTGCCATTTAAAAAAATTTTGGATTAGGTGCAGTCAAGAAAATATACAATTACATATGGTCCAACATTTAGCTAAAAAAAAAAAAGTTCATCTTTACTAAATAGGTCATGTTAATTTATTTAGCCCTAAAATAAACCTCAATATATACTTTTTTTTTTTTAAAAAAAAAGAAAACCTTTCAAGTGCTTCATAAAACTTAAATGCTTAGCCTTACGGTTTAGTCATTTATTTGATTTAGTGTCAGGCTCTGTCTTACTCCATTTGTATTGCTATAACAAAATATTGGAGACTGGGTAATTTGTAAATGATAGAAGTTTATTTGACTCATGGTTCTGGAGGCCAGGAAATCCAAGAGCATGGCCCTTGCATCTGATGAGGACTTTTGCGTTGTGTCATCCCGTGGCAGAAGGCAGAAGGGCAAGAGAGTGTGAGAAAGCAAAAGAGGGCCAAACTCATTTCTGTAACAAACCAACTCTCACAATAATGAACCCACTTCCTTGATAACGACATTAATACATTCATGAGGGCAGAGCCCTTGTGACCTAATCACCTCTTAAAAGTTCCCTCTCTCAGTACTGTTACATTGAAAATTAAGTTTCCAACATGTGAACTTTGGGGGCATATTCAAACCATAGCAGGCTCCAAATATACTATTCATAAATTTTCTTCTTTTAAACATTTTTATTAATGTTTTACATACGTGTAGTTTTAAAAATACCTGTTTCTATGAGGCTTATTATAAAAAACAGCAACAGCAGTCTCGTGCTTCCTCCACCAACAACCTGCCTCCCTTCCCATTCCCTAGTAATAACTGTCAAGAGTTTTGGCTTTTCTTTTGGTAATTACATTCCTATTTACGAAAAAGATTATTTCTTCACTGTTTCTTGAAGTTTTTCAGTTTTACATGTTAACTATTGATGTGCTGATATAAAAACTGAAGATTTAGTTTTTTTGAACATTCTGACTTCTTCCTTTGCTTCCCTCCTATCCTCTGAATATTATGTTAATTTTTTGTAAGATTAGTTTTTAGTTAGTTATATTGTTTACAGCTTGAGCCAGACAATATATATACTATGGTTATAATTCCTTTCAGGAAAACATTCTATTTTTCTTAAATTTAATAATTCTCTTTTATCTGTTTAGTTTTCTGTTTACCTAGTACTAATTTATTTCTGAACGCTCCACCAGAAGTGGTAAATCACTTTCTAATACATTTAAACACATTGATTATCTATCAATGCCATTAATTTTCTCAGGAACATCTTGCCTAGAGCTATCCCCAACGTCTGTTGTCCTGTTCTAGTCTAGTCTGCTTGCTCCCTGGGTCTCCTTCATGGTTGCTATCCTGGAATTTCTTGTCGCCAACCTTCTGGAGATTCTGCTTTCCTCCCTCCTGTGTGTTGGTTCACTTCAGGATCCAAATCTGCCTCTTCTCTTTCCTCGATTTGGTGGGATAATTTTCCAGGAAACTCCCTGAGAAAGGGTATAAGGAGGAATACTTTTTGAGACCATACATAACTAGATATAATACCATTAGTATTGATTGATAGTGTGGCTGATTGTAGAATTTTAGGTTAGAAAGATTTTTCTCCACCAAATTTTGAAGGTATTCTTACATTGTCTTCTACCTTCCAGCATTGTCAGTGACTAGCTCGCCATTCTGATTTTTTATCCTTCATATGCTACATATTTTTTTTCTTTCCTGACCTATCCAAGTTGAGTTCATCGTCAACTTCTGTCAGTCTCTATCTTCTAAATATCTCCTGATTTCATACACTTCTTATTCTTATCTCTGCCACTGTCCTGGTCACATTTGCTTTCTAACCAGTCATCCCCATCTCCTCTTGCCCCTCCCTGATCCTTTAGTACTCAGAAGCCAAAACTATCTTCTAAAATTGCTGAGTCTTCTGCTTATACCATTCCTGCCTCGGTGCCCTGCTGCCATTATCAAAAACTTTTCAGTAGCTTTACATTACTCTTAAGGTAGAGTTTATAAAGTCTATTATTCCCTGTATCTGGACCTGCCTATCTCTCTAGCCTTGCCTCTCTCTTCCCCCTTACTCCTTATATTCCATCCCCTCTGGTTATCTTTTACCTCCTTTATCAAGTTCTTTGCTGCTTTAGAGCATTTGTTACCATTGTCTCTTTCTGGAATTGTTCCCTTCTTTTAATTGACTCTGTGGCTCCATCTGTACTCCCAGCTCTTAATCAGCTTAATTGCAGTTTCCACGGGAAACCTTCTGTGATCTCTCAGACAAGGTAAGGTTTCCCTTTTATATATACTTATATTGTCTTGTGCTTTCTCATAGTATTATTTCATTTGGCCATTTAATACAAGTTTTCTGAGTACTTACTGCGAGCTTATAAAAAGTAGGACAAGAGAATCCAAACATCTTTTCACATCTCTCACTATTCTAATTTGCTTTCCTTTTGAGAAGAAATAAAGAAACTTAAATCTCTCCCCCAGTCTAAGATATTAGTGATGCTTCAGCTACATCTCTTTTGACTTGTGCAGACTTTTCTTCCACTCACTTCTGCTTTGTCACAAAAGAAAAGACAGGAAGGCAGAAAATCACAATTGTTGAATATGTATTCTGTGCCAGGAATTCCACATATGTTATTTTAATAATCCTCCTAGCAACTCTGTGAAGCAAGTATTATTCCTATTTCATAGAGGAAGGAACTGAGACTTGGAAACATTAGTAAATTGCCATTATAGCTAGCAAAAAGCAGAGCTGGGAATTAAACTCAGGTTTACCAGATGCTCAAGTCTAAGCCCTTTGTAGCATTGAACGATGCTTTGAATAAGAATGAATAACATGTATGTTGGTGTATTAGTCTGTTTCTGTTGCTTATAACAAAATACTTGGAACTTGGTAATTTATAAGAGAACAAAATTTATTGCTTACATGTAGTTTCAGAGGCTAGGAAGTCCAAACTCCAGGGAACACATCTGGTAAAGTCTTTCTTTGGTGGTGACTTCAGTGATGGCAGGGTATCACATTGAGAAATGGCAGGGCAGAGAGAGCAGAGACTAATTTCATTCACTTTTTTTTAAAGCCCTCAATACCATGCCCCTGACCATCATTATTATTCCATTTACTACAGCATGGTCCTACAATCTAATCACCTCCCCAAGGCCCCACCTTTTGATTACCATAATAGAATTTCCCACCC